CCACCAGCCCCCCCCCCAAACACTTTTGGGACACTGTGCTTTGACAGCTGTCCTAGTCAGGCAATCACAACATTTTGATTTGCTGAAGGTACAGATGTTAGGCTGGGTTCTTGCCAGATGTTCAACATCTTTCTCCATATGACTGAGAATTAAGCCCCTAATGAGATATTTGGTGGAACGCCTCCTCCCACCTAGATCTACCCGAATCACTCATTCTAGCCAGGAAGGGTGGCTGAGGGGCTTAACGCCGAGGGAGGTGTGGAGAGAAAGAACAAGAAACCAGGCCTTCTCGGCGGTGGCCCCTCGCCTTTGGAACAATCTCCCCTCAGAGATCTGTCTGGCTCCCTCACTGGGTGTTTTTAAGAGCCAACTTAAAACCTGGCTCTTTAGGCAGGCTTTCCCTCCTGTCATCACTTGATTATTTTTATCTTTTCCCCATCTTGAATGATATTATTGTTGTTGTTCTCTATTTTATTATATTGCTTTTATGCTATTCTTTTATCGTTAGTCTCCCAGAGTAGACTTGGCTCTAAATGGGTTCTCTGCCTTCTTTACATATCAAGCACATGGTGGGAGTTCATCTCTGGCAATGTGGACTAGAAGGCCTCAAGCTTGTTAGATAAAGAGCTGTCAGTCAGGAGGTCCTGGCCATTCTAATACGCCTTGCTAGAGGTGGACTCTGAAACCCACCATCTCTGAGCAGATTCTGCAGCCCTCATCTTGGAATCTGCTTGGAAACAAGGAACCTGGCCACTGATTTTGGAACTTTTGATGCTTTCCCCCCCCGCACCATAGCCAGCTCTGTGGTACCCAGCCTGACGGAGTGCTTGCGGAGAGTAAAAAACTAGCCTCTCTGTGTGAGGTTTTAATGGTCAAAAGCTGTGGGGGTAACCCAAGTGTTCTTGGATTGCAACTCCCAGAATCACTAGTCCACACCGCTGGTGGTGAAGGCTTCTGGGAATTGAAGTCCAAAAGCAACTCGCTTATCCAAGGTTGGGAGCCACTATTCTAAAAGTGTCACCCACTCTTGTCTTTGGGTGATATACAAAGACCATGTAGCTATTTTTCTCTTTTGGTCGCTTGAAGAAGAGCATGGCAAGCGATGCAGTGCGGAGGGAAATGTTTTGGAAGGTTTCGTTCATCTGTAATGTGTACTAAGCAACTGGGAGCATTTATTCCAATTTCTTAGCATACTTGGAAGTGACACAATGGGGCACTGTGGGTTATTTAAACGGTGTGAGTGGCTTTCAAGGCCAGCTGCCTCATACAAGGGATCCACAGGAGAAGTCACTGGGACCCTCCCACCCCCAATATTGAAGACCTTTCATATCCCTGTGGATGCCAGGAACTGACGCTGCCCCTTCTCTTGAGTGTAGAGACGTGAAATAAAACCATTGTTCTGTGGCCTAATTTTTGCCGATTGTCAATAAATCATTAATTGCTACAGCATGTTTGTAATAGACTGGATGAGGGTGAATAAACTGAAACTTAATCCTGATATACTGTGCATAATCCTATTAGCTATTTCCGTCTGAGTTGCTGGTTTTCTGAGTACAGTAACTGACGGAGTTTTATTTGAGTGATTGGGAAGGACTCTTTTTTTAATACTTTATTTTTAACATAGGGTAAAGTGAGGGTGAATAAACTGAAACTTAATCCTGGTATACTCTGCATAATCACTTTGCATGATTGGGAAGGACTCTTTTTAATATTTTATTTTTAACATAGGGTAATGGGAAGGAAAAAGGGATTGAGGTTAAGGGGAAGAGGAGAAACAATGACAAACTAACATCCATTCTAGACATATTGCCATGTTAAAATTCAAAATTGCTCTTTTTACTATTTTCTGCCTTGCATGTTTGGTTAGGACTCTTATGGGCTTAGATTATTGTCTGTCTATACATCACTAACCAATTGTTCCTTCCATCTTTTGAAATTCAAAGGCAGCTCTGCCTATCCACTGAGTGTGCTATCCATCCCATTGGTCAATTGGTGGCAGTTGTTTTGCTGCCGATTTTCTGTTTGGTTGGCTGCTAGCCGTGGTCACATGGCCAGTGTGATTTAGACACGGAACACTGTTTACCTTCCCACCGAGATGATACCTATTTATCTACTCGCATTTGCATGCTTTCGAACCGCTAGGTTGGCGGGAGCTGGGACAAGCAACGGGCGCTCACTCCGTCGCGTGGATTCGATCTTACGACTGCTTGGTCTTCTGACCCTGCAGCACAGGCTTCTGCGGTTTAGCCCACAGCGCCACCACGTCCGTGTAGGACTCTCATGGGCTTAGATAACTGTCTGTCTATCCATCACTAACCAATTGTTCCTTCCAACTTTTGGAATTCAAAGGCAGCCCTGCCTCTCTGCTGAGTGTGCTATCCATCCCATTGGTCAATTGGTGGCAGTTGTTTTGCTGCCGATTTTCTGTTTGGTTGGTTGCTAGTATGTACGCAGTAAAGAAAGCAGTCTACACAAGTCTGTAATTTTGAGCAATTGTAAGTAAAAAAACAGTTTTTAATTGTTTCTCCTGCAAATGTCTCAGAGTAAGTTGTTAAGCCTTTAAGTACCAAAGAATGAGAAAGGTATGGACTCTGGCGAACTTGTAGCTATTCTTCTCTGAGGATCGCTGTACTTTTGCTGTGTGGCAAAAAGAGAATTTTACTAGAAATGCAAAACTCTGCAACAGCAACATTGCAGGAAAAAAGCATCCAAAGATTCAGT